ATTTCAAAAAGTCTGCTCTCCTTTGCGAGCTGCCAGAGCTGTGGCAGGTGTAAGACATGGCCAACCTGGGATCTGAGCTGTGGAATGAAAGTAATCGAGTGAATTCTCTCGCTATGCTGCAGACCAGTAAAAGACCCAGCTACCATCCGGGACTCGGCCTAAGCCTGCGAGGTGGCTTTGTGAGATTCATTTGGGCTTACAGCGCGGCTTAGCAAAGACCTGATATATTGAGGCGCTGCAGTCTTGTGCTGAGGGGGAATTTTGCTTTCATGACAAGTGTGGCTTGGCTGCGGTCCTGACACACCCTGGCACGCCACAAGGCAGATGGTGTTTCCCCCGGCGACGCTGCCGCTCTCTAGCATCCCTCTCCTCACTTCCCTATGCTCCTCCTGCTGTCGAGGAGTCATTAGTACAATGGGACAGGAAGGACACATTGGAACAATTTGGAAATATGAACCACCTCCTCCAACCAAACATGAACTACGCTGCAGGGGCCGGGTGACGGAGCCTTAGATCATCTTGTTGATGGTTCAAATCCCCAAATGCAAAGAAAGGATCCTTGTGGGCTGAAGTTAATGACATTCCTGCTAATGGTTGAGAATAAAAGAATGCATCTGTTAACAACAAAGCTGCACAATTTGGAAATAATAACTAATTGCGATTGGATATTAGATGGAATTATACTTTTGGAAGCATTATTCACAGTAGCAACGACAAATATATTAAAATGATCGTGGTGTTCTTGAGATGATCTGTAACAAACAAGACTTCTCACAATACTTCATTTTGAGATTTTCACATCATTTGCTTATACAAAATATTGCGCTAACTGCGATGATGCCTAAACAGTGAGAGGAAATCCCCATTCATTCAAAGATTCCTTAGTTCCCACACAACTCCTTGATGTTGTAACACAGTTTTCCCAAAAGATTCAAATTGAAAGTAAGAATTGCAAGAGGACGGATGACTAATTTGTATCCAAGGGCACTCAGGCTGGTGACTGGTTTGTCATCAGCTTAAAGTGGCTTGTTATGGGACAACTTGACTTGCCCTGCCTATGTAAGCCAGGTGCTGAAATGAGCTTCTACTGCCCTGCTCTGAGCTAACTATACACATGCCTGTCAAATGTAAATGTTCACAACCATATTTAAGTATATAAGGACAAAGGAGGTACCACCATTAAGACATTGTTAGAATATGTTTTCCTTTTTAAATCAGTCAAATCTTGAGTGGAGATATTCTCTCATGTTTTCAAATTGCATATTTCTTTAGGTCATTTTAAAAGAGCAGAACAACCAAGAGCCTGATTGTGATTCCTACTTTTCTTGATAATAAATCACAAACCTGTTATTCTTTTATTTAGCCTGATCATGATTGTTTGAGATGGATAAAGAACAAATACTTAGACTTTAATTGAAGTGATTTACATATAATTGTCTATCTATTACAACGCTTCTTTACATATTACCAAACCAACATTTCCCAGCCACAAATATTTACCACTTTTGGACAGGAAATGATGTCATGTGTTTGGAGTGGCTCTCCGCACGTAACTCAATACGTGATTGCAATTATGTCCTGAAATATGCCCAAACATTGGCTCATTAATGTGCATAAAGCGGTAAGGCGGTCTAAGTTGAAGGTGTAATCTCTGCTGAAACCGCAAATATGTAATCTATCTTTTTCGTCTAATGCTTCTGGAGCGAATGTGAGATGAAGCGTTTGGAGTGTTTTATCACATTTGCGGGCTATGGTCTCAAACCTCGAGCCACTCTGCTACAGTCTGTGGACCGCAGTCAAATGGCCACTGGCCTTCATCCCACCCATTTAGGTGATTCATATGTTTTTTTAGTGAGGGTGATTTATTCTTAGGTGTGGGCTGTGTTTGCAGTGACTGTATCATAGGTGGGTTCGGCACACGCCATGATTACTGAGTTACTATGCAACAAGGTGCGACACTGTGGCTTCAACGCATAACATGTACAGAGTTTTGGGGTCTCTGGGGCTGCAAACATGTTGCTTATCTGAATTGTAATTACATTTCGAGTGAATTATGTATATTGCTGTGGCACAAAAACAAACTAGGACAATGTTTGTATTGGATTTTTCTCCCTGCTTGAATTCACAGAAGCAAAACATTTGAGGAACCCATAATTATGCTGTGGCAGAAACAAGTCCTAGTTATTTCCCCCAAAACAGATGGATAGGGAGTATCGAAGAAGGTAGATTCAACACACAGTAGCAGCTATGAAACACATCTGTGGTGCTTACCTTCTGTGCTATTATTGCCTAATCCATGTATAGAGGAGATGATCTGCGCAGGAATATACCTGCCAGCATTCCTCTGCCACTAAGCGGCTTACATATGATAGATATAGTGAACCTTTTAGCATGTTTTGACACTTCACCTTGATCACTACTGTAAAAAGGTTGGTGCTTTCCCAACTGAAGTAAAATAGCAGAGCTGTGTGTGTGTGTGTGTGTGTGTGTGTGTGTGTGTGTGTGTGTGTGTGTGTGTGTGTGTGGTGTGTGTGTGTGTGTGTGTGTTTGTGTGTGTGTGTGTGTGTGTGTGTGGTGTGTGTGTGTTGTGTGTTGTGTGTGTGTGTGTGTGTGTGTGTAGTGTGTGTGTGTGTGTGTGTGTGTTGTGTGTGTGTGTGTGTGTGTGTGTGTGTGTGTGTGTGTGTGTGTGTGTGTGTGTGTGTGTGTGTGTGTGTGTGATGTGTGTGTGTGTGTGTGTGTGTGTGTGTGTGTTTGTGTGTGTATTACTATACTTGTGGGGACCTACATCTGTTTACAACGTCACGTGTGGGGACTCGCCTCCCTTATGGGGACAAATTGGAGGTCCCCATGAGGGGAATCATTCATTTTAGGGTGAAGACTTGGTTAGGGTTAGGCATGTTATGGTTAAGGTTAGGATAAGTCTCCAGGAAATGCATGTAAGTCAATGTAATGTCCCCTGAAGTGATGTATACATGGTGTGTGTGTGTGTGACTCTCCCGGGTGGCCGGCATAAAGGGTTAACTTCTAAGAAGTGTGCTCCCTCTGTGGCAGAGATAGACAGTGGTTGGTCTCTAGAAAGCTGGCTCTGTTTGACAAACAGCGCGACGGGCACGAAGCACGGTCCAGTTTACACTGCCCGGCCGCCAACCACCAGATGTGTGATGACCTTATGTATACGAGAACAAATCCCTGCCCCTTACACATGACTCATAGGGTGTAATCCAGGCATTTAGCCGACATGCTCTCTTAGGTGTTTGCATAAGAATTTCCTTTTTTAAACCCTGGACTGAAATGTTTCCAAGTTACAGAACATGCGGTGCCCTACACGTCTGCCCACTGACTGGCAGGACCAGACTCTCCGGAGCCTCAACAGAGAAAAAGTACATTTTCTATCAGCAGGCCCAAACCCCTACAGGCACTCCCCCTCATTAGATGGACGGATGGCTCAGATGGGAGTCTGTTTCCCGTCAAATGCTAGATCTTGACTTTGGAAGCGGTGTCCTGGTAGATGAAGCAAACATTTAAAGGGAACAAATATCCCCCCAAGGCACTATATCTGCGGACTGTTGCTCTGCTCCCTAAAGGCTTCAGCTGTATTTCTGGGTCCCGGGACATCCACCTAATTGCCATCTACTGCACAAACTGCTCAGCAAAAGAGCAAGACTGCAATTAGCCATGGCTCGCCGCCAGCTCGGTACAAATCTGCCAAATTGTTTCTCTTCAGAAAGTTGAGCAGTTGTGGTCTTCCTTTCCTCTACTTTTGAAATGTAGGCCTGTCACTGTGCTATCGTATAATTAGGAAGACCAGCAGTAGCAGAGAGCCTGCTGTAAGGCTTAAAGCCGAGGCATTGTGGTGGTGTGCAGAGCTATACAGACACAGGGTATAATTGATGTATGCGTTTCCTCCTTTATCTCCGGAGCATGGACATGACTTGGTCCTCTCCTGGGCCGCAGCATTATCTGTCAGGCAACTCTTCTGACACCTATCTACAGTTGCAAGAAAAAGTATGTGAACCCTTTGGAATTACCTGGATTTCTGCATAAGTTGGTCATAAAATGTGTTCTGATCTTCATCTAAGTCACAACAATAGACAAACACAGTCTGCTTAAACTAATACCACACAAACAATTATATGTTTTCATGTTTTTATTGAACACACCATGTAAACATTCACAGTGCAGGGTGGAAAACCCCTAGACTAAAGACTTCTTCAAGAGCTAATTGGAGTCAGGAGTCAGCCAACCTGGAGTCCAATCAATGAGACGAGATTGGAGGTGTTGGTTAAAGCTGCCTTGCCCTATAAGAAATACACACCAGTTTTGAATTTGCTATTCTTAAGAAGCATTGCCAGATGTGAACCATGCCTCGCACCAAAGAGCTCTCAGAAGACCTACGATTAAGAATTGTTGACTTGCATAAAGCTGGAAAGGGTTACAAAAGTATCTCTAAAAGCCTTGATGTTCATCAGTCCACGGTAAGACACATTGTCTATATGTGGAGAAAGTTCAGCCCTGTTGCTACTCTCCCTAGGAATGGCCGTCCTGTAAAGATGACTGCAAGAGCACAGCGCAGAATGCTCAATGAGGTGAAGAAGAATCCTAGAGAACTAGAGACTTAAAGAAATCTCTGGCACATGCTAACATCTCTGTTGACGAATCTACGATATGTAAAACACTGAACAAGAATGGAGTTCATGGGAGGACACCACGGAGGAAGCCACTGCTGTCCAGAAAAATCATTGCTGCACGTTTGAAGTTTGCAAAAGAGCACCTGGATGTTCCACAGCACTACTGGCAAAATATTCTGTGGACAGATGAAACCAAAGTTGAGTTGTTTGGAAGAAACACACAACGCTATGTGTGGAGAATCCAAAGGGTTCACATACTTTTTCTTGCAACTGTATGTTGTACTGTTCAACAGAGCAAATATTCCCCTCCTGCTGTTTCACTTCTCCCTCCATTTCACCTTTCCTTGTTTTTTTCCCCCTTTTCTTCTGCAGCTCATTATCCTCGAAGACTACGCGGACCCTTTCGATGCCGAGCAGGCTGGTGGCACTCAGACCAGCACGGAAAAAGTGACGACCACGGAGAATGACGGCTACATGGAGCCATACGAGGCCCAGAAGATGATGGCAGGTAGGTTTTCAGTTCTCTTAGATCTCCATCTCCAGCTGCTTCTGTCACCTTGTGCCTTTGATGCTTTCATACTGTAAATCACAGTGGAGCATTCATTAGTATGCAGTGTGATTTGAGCACATGTCCCCAAAATGGGAATATATAAAGAGGCTCAGATGGCCTAATGCAGGATTACATGACAGGTGCAGCAGAGCATAAATGACCCGCATGTGGTGAAAGTTGTCAAAACATTTCCAGAAGCCAGAATGACTTTGTCCCTAGAAACCATACAAGCCTGAAAGTGTATCTAAATACACACTTCAGAGGTCCAATGAAGAGAGAACTTTTTTTTTTTTTAATATGCTTTCCCCCCCTGCTGATCTGTTTGCATGTTGAGACAGCTACATGCTGGGATTGCCAGGAAGGCCCAACAATAGCTGTGTGCTAACATAAGAATTTCAGCCGAGCCACATTCCCCACACGGCTTTGTCACAGCGCACATTCATTCTGTGGCAAAGTTAGCACAGCGATGACAAAGAACAAAGAATGTGCAGGAAGAAAAAGAGGAGAAATTATGAACAATATAGAGAGAACAGAACATGCTGCTTTTCCTCTCCCTAAAAAGCTTTCGTACCCAGGAAAGGAATGTTTGTATGACTGTCAAACCTCAAGTGGATGTTTGTGGATGACACGGAGATATCAGCACTTATACCTTGATACACCGATACACTCATATCACCTACAATGGGTACCACGTAGCCTCCTGCACATACTGTACTCTTATACACACACACACACACACACACACACACACACACACACACACACACACACACACACACACACACACACACACACACACACATACACACACACACACACACACACACACACACACACACACACACACACACACACACACTCCCATAAAGGCAGGACATGAATGTCTATGTCCCTCCTCAGCAATTTTCATTTAATAGGCCTCCAGACAATCTCTTGTTTTCATCTGTCGTACTGGTTTGACCTCTGGCCCAGTCATTGCCTCAGCAGAGTAAAACAAACCTTAAGATTTATCGCTTCTCTCGGAGGCTGAGGAAGCTATAGAGAAAAGCACACTCTGAACAAGGCTTTTGTCGTATCACTTTGAATCTTGAACTGATTCCAGGTTTTTTGTGTTTTTTTAAGTTCAACTTGACATAGTTTTACACATGGCAAACTAAACTATGCTGGCAGCAGTTGTCTGTTTGATCTGATGAAGTCTTCACTTGGGTTCCTGTTGTTGCTCCTGTCTTTAAAACCTGAAGCGGTGTTGTTTTCAGGCTGGATGCTTTTATCTATCATATCTATTGATTGCCACTTTTAGTTTTTCGTGTCTGCTGTTTTGACTGAGCTGGCAGGGCGTTGTTTTAAATAGAGCTGTTGGATTTATTTGGCTCTGTACTGTCATCCTTTTAATTTTCATAATGATCCATGGATTCATTTCATAGATGGCTGATTTCACAAGCACTAAATAATACATGAAATTCCAACATGCTGGCACAAAGGTAGGAATGCCATTACTTGAAGAGGGTATCATTTCACAATGTTTGATATACTCACCTGCAAACAGGGCATTATGGGAAATGTCCACATAATAAATCAAATGTCTGAAAGAACGTCAGACAGGACATATTGATGACTGTGGGTTAGAATGTTCTGTAATATGAATCATGCATATAACCATATATACATAATAATGGTAGTTGAAAATCTAAAAGTATAATCATGGTTAACTGCGCCAAAACCAAAATGCTATGTTTCACTGGCTGAGTCCCGGTAGCATATGAAGTGTTGCCGATTTTTACTCAACATTTCTATATCCAAGCATTGCTTTTTTTCAGCAACACCTGGCTCCAGATTCACAACGTTTCCCACAGTTACACACCACCACCCATGTAAATGTAAAGATTAAGTGCCCAAGGATGTATAATCCCCAGTGGGAAGGTCATTTATTGTATACACACACATTACAAATACACACATGCATAAGTCCGTTACGGATGAAGTCTGAATACAGATATGTACAGATACATGCATTTGTATAGAGAGGTGTCAGAGCCGAGAGACTGCTAGGTTGTTTGGCGCTATAGAGAGCAGTTGGGGTTTCAGTGCCTTGCTCAAGGACATCTTGTCAGTGCCAATAAGGCGAAGTGTCTGGCACCTTTCCCCCAGTCCAGACTCCATATTTTTGGTCCGATCGGGACTTGAACCGGCTACCTTTCGGTTCCTAAGCCAAGTCCCTACAGACTCAGCTCCTGCCGCCCCCAAATAAGGGTCAGGCAATACATCAATGTAATATCCGAACCGCGATATGAGTCTAGATATCACCTTCGGATATTCTAGATCGTATCATTGCATACGTTTCTTTTTACGGGATATGCAGGCTGCATTACAGTTAAGTGATGCACTAAAATTACCGACTGTCCCATCTTTTTCAATTTATATCCACATCTAGAGTGTACAGTATCTTTTCAATATTGATATCAATGTATTTAGTTATAAATATTGTTATGTTTTCTCTCCCTATCACTCCAATCTCCAATATTTGTTGGTATACTCACCGTGAATAAATAGTAATTGCTGCATCTTCCTCTCTGGCGGCGTATTGGTCAGGTGAAAAAGGGTAGAAAGAATCCTTGGGCTGCTGCACTGAAGTAAATAAATGACCAAACCGCTCATGTGAAGCAAGAGGCGTTCATGTCTCTCTCTTTCTCATTCTGTCACTGTTGCTCTCTCTCATCTATTTCTCTTTCCCTCCCCAGGCACTTTGGTTCTCAATGACAACCTGCAATGTTGGCAATACCTGCATTTTCCTCTTCTCAGACTGTGGGCTGCAGATAGCCGTTTCTCTTCCAGCCTTCCTCTTCTCACAACTTGCTTTCACAGATGGGTGTAGATGGACACAAAAGCCCCAAACATGCCAACACAAGAGACACGTTTTTATTTATGGCTGTAGGAGCAAGTTAATAATTTACCACCAGCCAATTTCATATCATTTATAAAACGCTACGTCTAACTCCTCATAAAAAGGGCTGTCTGAACGTGTACAATTCAAAGGTGTGTAACCCATTATTTCTCGTAAAAAGTGTTTAGAATTAATTCTAACAAGTAGCCTGAAAATAAACCGCCTGACGTTTTTCGTTTGTCTTCACAGACGACCTTTACGTTTCAAGTTTCAATACAAGATTTACTTTGAGCTGCTGTCGGTCTGGATCTCACACACAGTCACTCAGTTACACAAAAACACACTCCGATCAATCTCAGTAATTGAATACTCCTACTATACATTATCATTTCCTACATACAGTAAGAGGCCTTGATACCACGTATATCCTTGTTGATCTTACATATTAACTAGGGAACTGCCTTGTTTATAGCTCATATTTCTGACTCATGCAGAAGCCTTTGCATGTCTTAACCTTTTGGAAGTGGACGCCTCAGATTAGCTTCTTTAGTGTTGAGTAATCACTTGTGGTTTTTGCCCTGCACTTACCAGAGATCAGGGGGTGTCAGCAGGTACTCTGCAAAGTAACACTGTGACTAAGCTGTACCATGAATGCTTAAAAATAAGTCTTCATTACCATCTCATTTACATTTCAGAATCAGAATCACACATACGAGGAATTTGACTCGATGTCATGGCGCATACATAAAATATAAAACAAGAAAATTTTAAGGACACCGTAATAAAATAAAGCAGTAATTTACATGGAAATGCTATGAATTAATTATAGGATATTAAATATTAAACAAGAAATTTGTGCAGTAAGCAGTATGAACATTGTGTGCATTAATGTAATGCAGAGTGTACGTTGTGTCAGTGGGGGGGCCGGGCCTTGTTTAATTAAGAGGCCGGTAGCGGAGGGGAAGAAACTGTTCAGGTGGCGAGAGGTTTTGGTCCTGATGGAGCGCAGCCTCCTGCCAGAGGGGAGGGGGGTGAACAGTTTGTGTCCAGGGTGGGAGGGGTCGGCCACTATCTTCCCACCTCAGGGTCCTGGAGGCGTGCAGGTCGTGGAGGGATGGCAGATTACAGCCGAAAAAGTGGGAATTCTGCTTGTAAAAACATAACGTTTCATGTATTAAGTTGCAGTGAGGGAGTATGGATTAGAGCCTCTATATTTTCATGGTATTACTGCAATAGGTTTCCATAAATATGTTGAATACAGAGACTTTTCTTCTAAACCTAAAGGTTAATGAGCTCAATTCGTACATGATGCAGCCGTTGGCGCAGGTGCTTTCTGTACAAGTCTGTGATTAGCAAGTATGAGGTCAGCCTGAACTCATATGCTGATTTAAAAAGGCTTTTGTTTTCTCAGTCCTCTGCTCTGTTGCATTTAGCTTTTTATGAACCATCACTCGATTGATTATTATGCTTTACAATGTGCTCTCATCTCAAATTATATACAAGCTACAGGAAGGCCATTCATTTTATATGGAGAACAAAAAGCTTGTAGCGCTATAATCTCCACTCCCCATAAACGTCCAATCAGATGTCGGCGTGTCCTATTTTCTTTTCCTACTGATTTGATTCCATTCACTGAAGGGTGAATCCTTACAGTCTTTCAAAGCCACTGATCCGATATCACTCTATTGTCCACAAGAGAGGACATTTCAAGGCACAGTGTTGTTCAGTTACACCTGCGTTTGTTCCGTGTTCCTTCCTCCATCCTTTTTTCTCCACAACTTGAATTTGAAAGCATACAGACTAGAGCTGAAAGGATCAGTTTAGCTTTTAATCGATGAGTTGATCGACTGACAAAAAATGGCAGCAATTTTCACGTATTGGCTGCAAAAAAATATCTAAATACTGATTACTATTTTCTTTGAGGTAATAAAAAGAAGTATCCATACTTTTTACAACAGGGTTATTATGCTCAGAATCTAAAAAGGTATCAATAACCGATACCCAGCCCTATTGCAATCTGTATGTTTTTGTATATTTAGACTTTAGACATTTTAAGGTGTCATGTTTGGCACTGTAA